GCTCATTTAATTAGTATATAGCTGATGCCTGATATACCAGATGCTGTTCCTGTTTTAAGCTTTTTTAGTACCTCTTTCTATTTTTTTTCTTCTTCAACCTCCTTGTACTATTCCTCTCTAACATGTTCTTGTGGTTTGTATACTTCTTTCCACCTTTCTAACATCTCTTCTAATTTAGTATTTCTTTTTCTAAACTGTTTCTTATAATGTTGTCTCTTCTTCTTCTTGTTTAATAAATCTGTAAGTACTATTTTCTTGTAGGCTTATTTAAAAGGCTGGCTATCATTTTCCTTGGTCTGTTTTAATTATTTTACATCTTTTGTCTATATTTTTTTCTATTTGTATTCTGGTCTTTGTTCTCATTTTTTCTTCTTTTTTTCTTGTAATAGCTTCTGTCAACTCCTTCATGTCTTCTGTCCAGGCACTTGACCATTGTTTCTGTAGTTTTGGCAGTTTTGCACCTTCTCTCTTGCCCAGCACTTTTAATTTTTCCTTTACTTCACTTCTTTCTTTCTTCATTACTCTTTGATCTTCTCTTGTTTTTGCATATTTAATTAACCTTTGAAGCTTTATGATGTTTTCCTCTTGTTGTTGTTCTTTTTGACTGCTTCTTCTGTTTGTTGCTGTATTGTATATTTTTTTCTTGGATATATGTTTGCTTGCTGCTATGATGATTACCTCTTCTATTATATCCCATATGTATTTATTTTATTTGTTACTTCTCTTTTGTCTTGCTCTTTTTTCTAAATATTTTTTAGTGTCTCTTTTATTTCTAATTATTTTTGCAACTCTTGTGCATAGTTTTTCTAATCTTCTACTTTTGCTTGATTGTATAAGTACAATGTTCTTGATTGCCTCTTTCTTTTAACTCTGCTTTACTGTTTTTTATTGTTATATATTTGATCTATAATTTTGCTTTTATTATTTTATGATTACTTTTGGTAATTTCTTCAGCTTCTTCAATTTTTGCCTTTTACAAACCTGAGGCTAGTTTATTTGATATCTATATATAGTTGATTTTAGTTGCTGCTTCTTTGCTTAACTATGTGTATTTCTGACTTGTTGGGTATAATTCTCTGTATGTATTTCTATAATCTTGCTTTCTTAACCAATTGAAGATTGGTAGCCTTTTGTAATTTGCTGTTTGTGGGTGCTATCTGTCAAGTATATTATCTATTGTATGATTAAAGTCTCTTATAATAATTATTTGTGTCTGTCTTTTTTTTTTTATCATTATTTCTACTATTTTCTGTTGAATGTTCTTTTTTATAGCTTTATTACTTGGCAGTATATAGACTCATATTACTACTAACTTTAATTGTTTAAAATATAGTATAACTTCTATCACTACTCATTTATCCTTTTAATAGCTCCCACATGCTTTTTCCATCATTTTTCAACCAGTATTCCTACACCTGACCCTTTTTTTTTTGCAGAAGTAAGAAAAAAGCTTATTAAAAGTCTTCTACAAGAGAAGGTAGTTAAAAAAGTACAAGATATTTTGGTCTCAGCACAAGAAACAAAAATCTTTCTAATAAGTGCTGTAGATACTTTATGGAATGAGTTTTATGAAACAATTTGAAAAAAAAAATGTAGTAAAATATGTGAATAGGAGAAAAGTCAAGATATTAGTACAAAAAGGAATAAAACAAGAAAGAAGCAGTAGAACAACAAAATGGACTATCACACAAAGTGATACCAGGATCAAGAGATAAGAAATTGGAAAAAATAAAAAATATAAAAGAAAAAATAGAGACAGAAAAGAAAGAAATAGAAGATTTGTAAAGAGGTACAATAAGAAAGCTAATTGATAATAACAAGAGGCCTTACTGGAACAGCCTCAAAGACTAGCCTGAATGGCCTTTTAGTAGTAAGTGCAAACTTATACTAGTGTAGCAGGCTGTTTCTGAGCACTTGTACAGTAGCTAGAGAATGCCAAAACTATTAATTAAGCTAATATTTGTATAGTTACATATGCAATTCTCTTAATAAAGGATATTGGCAAGGCTGCCAAAGAATTAAAAAAAAAAAAAATTTGAAAACTATCTATTAAGTAGTGTTTGATATGTTTTAAAAAAATATATATAAAAAGTTTTAAAAAAATTTTATGCAAATATATATATACAGTCAGACCTCTAAATGCACCCTCTCTAAATGCATCACCCTTCTAAATATATGATATAAGTTCAGGCCCATGGTGGTACTTATAGATAAATAAGTAGCTGCGCAACATTGTCATGTGAAACCAGGAACGGGAAAGTAGCACATTACAATGTTGAATACTAATGACATCAACAATTTGTGGGTCTGTTAGACAGCAGAGACAGTGCCTAATCCAAGGTGAATCCTTCTCACCTGTGATTAATGACAAATTAAATTATTTATGTTAGATTCAATTGTGATAGATATAACCCCTCACCAGTTTTAATACATGTGTAATATTAATGTCCTCTGCTGTAATTCTGTTACTCCACAAACTGAATTGTCATGTAACATATAATCGACTTAGCAGTTAGATTTGGGGTGAGTTGGGTTTATGAGCATAGGTATATCTCCTTTACTTGTATTATATTTTGATAGTTCACAATTTGCACATTAACCCATATGCTTACCCACGTGTAGACTTACATAATCGATATGTTATCATGCAAATTGACCGGAGGTCAATAGATTGAAAAGTTTGACTAAGTACAGGAGCAAGTACGTACCAAGACTCTGATTAAATGCAATAGTAAGTAAGGCATGAGCAAGCACATGCAAATATGCAGATATTTTCCTACAAGCAAAGTAATTTATGCATACCACAAATATAAATCAGAAAGTAATAATTACCGGTTCAAACATCAAAGCAGTGAGGCATATAAATTAAGCAGAGATTGGCAAGTGCCATCCATTACCAAACAGCCTAAAATATTCTGCGTTCCAAACATCCACCCTCCCTAAAAATAATAATAAATAATAATAATACTAATAATACTAATAATAACTGAATCTGATCGATTCTGTCATTCGTTTAATGGCTGGCCTGCTTTAGGCAGGTGGGAAACCACCAGCCTGTGTTACATCAACTGGTCGGCAATGCCCTGGCGCAATTGTTGTTTTTAATCTCTGGGTTACAAC